TGTGAGCGAGGCTGACGCCATGGCACTCACTGTAGCCTGGGCAACAAGGTGAGACTCTGTCTCAAAAATGAAATAAAAGGACAAAATAAACATTTTTCCTTTTGCATCTTACTCTCTGCGTGAGAAACCTTTCTCCGCCTGCACAGGGGCTTTTCCACCCTGCCGCAGACCGGTCATAGAGTTCTCTCTTTCTGTGGGGACGTCCTGGCCACAGTTGGGGTCTGAGGGCCGACTGGCCAGCAGCTGCCACCAGCGCCGGGACTCCGGCCCTTCCTGCCCTGCGGCTTCTATCCACAGGGTCCTGGAATAATTGGGGGTGTCCTCTTCATCCCTGCGAGTCCCACAAGCCTTGCTGTGACTCAGGCCGCGAGCCCCGTGACCTCTTGCGGAGCAGGGACACAGAGCTGTGGCCTCAGAGGCAGACAGCTGTGGCTCCAGGCCAGGGCCTTCCTGCACAAGGCCGGTTGTTCCTGCAAGCCCAGGGCTGCAACCTCCCCGCACGCTGCTCCCTGCGAGGCGTGCTTGTCCCCCTCGGCCCTGGCTGGCAGGACAGCGCAGTCCACTCCCACGACGGCCCTGCTGCGGGGCCCGACGGCCACAGTGGGCTCATCGGGATCTGCAGGGCGGGAGAGAAGTGCAACGTGGGGCGTGTTTGGGGCCCGACGTTCTGCAACCAGAAGGCCAAGGAAGTTTCAGAGGACACGGCATCCTCCGGACGGGACGGAGAAGAGGGTGGACGTCAGGTTTCTGCGGTGGCGTGGGCGGGGCTGGGCTCAGCCCTTGCAGGACTGCAGCCTGGCCTGAGCGGGGCAGGACACCTTAGTGAGTCAAGAAGCACAACGGCGAGGACAGGGGCTGGGGGCTCAGCGGTGCCGAGCGCAGCCGGGAGTCGGGGCTCCTCTGCTGACCTCGCGTGGTGTCTCCCTGGGCAGGTCCTGCACGGCCCCTTGTGGGACGCATGGAGCCTTCCTCCTCGGGAGGGGGAGGGGGAGAAGCCAAGGCCACTGCACCCAGGGGACCGTCCTTGAGGGGCAAGGCTGTGACGCCGCCCTTCAGCACGGGGTGCAAGGCGAGGACTGCGGTGAGGGCCTAGCGAACAATGATGATAATAATTAGTAACTGCCCCCCTGTAACTGCCACTCCGGAGCCAGCAGCTTGTGTCCATAAAGATCCTTACCTTTCTCCCTAGGTGACAATCACCTTCCAAAATCCAAAGGAGTTGCAAGAACCTTCAAGGCCGCATTCCGTGGGTCAGGCCCTAGAAGCATGGTCACACACAAGGAACTGACCACCCTGGTACTTGACCCAGGACTGGAGCAGCACGAGAAGATGATTTCTAACACTCTATAATTGGCCCCAATTAACAAACCTAAATGCCAATCCTGCCGCCAAGCTATCCTAAAAACCTGTCCAAGGTCTCGGAAGGCAGGTTGAAAATGCGAGACCCTTCCTGCCGTAAACTGCTCACCCGAGTGTAACTGCCTCTGGTGGGCAGTGGCAAATGACCAGCTGGGCGCAACAGCCGCCGGTGACACCACCTGCAAAGACTGCCGCCTGCGTCACGCCCTCCGTCTGCCTCGTAAAGGGTGGCTGCAAAAAATATTGCATGGCAGGAAAAGACCTTAATCCCCACATCCCCGGCTAACGGTTAGAAGAATAATGCCGTGAGCTCTCTCGCCACAGCACCGCAGAGCTCTGCGTGCGCAACTTCCGAAAGGCTGGACGTCGGGAAAAGAGACGTGGCTCTCCCCTGTAGCCTAGTGGCTCTGAGAATCTGCTTCACCGATCCTGTGAGTGAACAGCAGGAGAAGGATCCACAGCCCCGACCACTCCCGGGGACAGAGCCCACGTCTCTTGTGACAACCCCTTCCCCTGGAAGGCAGGAAACGACTCCTGGACTTTGGCGTCCTGGCCGCGTGTCACGCACCCTGCCGCCAACGAAAAAGGAAGGGCGCAGCATCCTGGACTGCACCTGCCGACGCTCTGCAGCCCTTCTCTTCTTTCTTTATTTCAGCATATAATGGGGTGCAAACGTTAAGGTTATGTACATTGCCCTTGGCCTCCCTCCTGATCAGAGCTTCAAGGCGGCAT